AGTAAAAACAGAAATTCTAAGTCTCTCAAGTGTGTGTGTGTAAGGTTACTTAGCATCAGTCTCTTTGAACATTACAAATAGACTCAATAAGAGAAAAAAAACAAAAGTACAGACTAACTCAATCCCTAAACCTACGCAATCTTGAACTGGCTTTGTTTGTTCGTCCGATCTTCAATTCCTGAAAAGTTAGAGGTAACAGGCAGTCCAAGAGAATCAATAGTATTTGTCAATCATCAAAACATAAGTCATGAAAATAGATTTGCAACAATCTCCCCCTTTTTGATGATGGAAAAACACTACGAAAAGTACGGAATCGACAAGTGTAAAAAAAAATATCATAAGCTTCTCCCCCTTTTGACATATCAAAACTAAATTTTAAAAGTTTTGAAAAGAGGGGATAGCTTGCTTTTTAGTGGGCTCGTTTTATGCCTCTTGAATCTTTGATTGGCTCTTTGAGCATCATTTAATTTTTGATACATATTTGTGTATTTTTTTTTTCTTTTTCAATTTGACGTCATTGGCCTCTTTCCTTTTTAATTCTTGTAAGCTAAAAGCTCTTTAACAAAAACCTTTAAAAAGAACCTTAGTTGTGAGTATATCCTCCAAATATTAGAGAATATGAGCTCTCTCTCTAACATAGGGAAGAATAACCCACAAAACAAAACTAAAAATCATATGATCAGTGCAAAGGCAAGATCTCAAATAACTTGAGAGATATATAAGAACTTTGGATATTATGCACAAGATAGATTTTTTGTAGCAAGATAAAAAGAATCTTAGTTTCAAAAACCATTGGCTAAAATGAGTTAGACTTTTATTTAGAGAAGAAAAATTATACCACTAAACAAGGTCAGAAGGAGGGAAACCATTAACGGTATTCCTTCCTTTAACCATTTAGAAAGGCTAAACATAATCTCTAAAACTCCAAAATTTAAAAAACTTAAAAAATAATCATATAGGAAACCAAACATAAAAAACAAAATGAAAACAAAGCAAACTAGAACAACACAAAGCAAGCACACAATAAAAAATAACACAAGACTAATTTAAAAAAAATTATTTCAAAAAGTTATGAAGCAGCGAGTTTAAGCAATTTTGAGCTGCGAGCCTCCTTATATCTCGTTATCCTATACTCCCACGAGGTCTTTGGTGAGAGCACACCTGCGAAACTCAACAACAGTCAGATTTAGAAACCCAACCTAGTTTGGGTCCCTTCTTAGGAAAGGTAGAATACAATGCAGGTGTGGTATGCTGTGAATCATGTATCTTAGGTCTCCACACCCAATGTGTACTATGGTGAACAGTGCAAGTGTGTGAGTTGTGTCCTAGCATGCCACAAGAAAAATATTTAACTCCAAGAAAAGGATTTCTTAAATGATTTGAGTTATAATGCCTCTTCCTAGGTTTTGGCTTTGGATTCAAAGTGGGAGTCTTCCAATTTTCCTTAAGTGTATCCAATTCATTTCTAATCCTCAAGTTTGTACTTTTTAGAACATTATTCTCAATCATCAAGGTTTTTTTCTTTCTCTTTTGATTTCTTGAAATTAGATTCAAGTGATGTGTGTGAAGCTTTTAATGCATCATGCTCATTAATTAATTCTAAATAATTTTTGTTCAAATCATCAAATTCATCAAAAAGAGCCATGTGATTAGAATCAATTGTTGAATGATCCTTAAGAATGACTTCATACTCTTTTTGCAAATTTACAAGTTCCAACTTTAAGTTATCATGAGTATTCTTAAGTTTTTTGTATGATGCATGGATTTTCTCACAAATTTCAAACAATTCATCATAGGTTGGTTTACATACCTCTTCCTCATCACTTTGCTCAAGATGATCTTCCCCCATTAAGCATAGGTTTGTAGTCTCTTCCTCTGGTTTAGTCTCAGAGGAATCAGTATTAGATTCTGCCTAGAACGCCTTTTGGACTCTCTTCTTGTCCTTCCTAAACTTAGGTTTCTCCTTACCTTTTTTTCCTTTTCTTTGCTCGAGTGATCTTGAAGTGTTGGACAATCAGCTCTCACATGTCCAGGCTTCCTACATTCATAACAAACAACATCAGAAGATCCTTTAGAATATTTATTATCCCTACCTTTTCTCCAATGATGCTTTTGTTTCTTCCTTAAAAAACTTTTGAATTGCCTTGTGATGAAGACAACTTCATCGCTTTCAGACCCGCAAGATTCAAAATCTGAATTGTGCGCCTTCAATGTAACTGTTTTCTCCTTCTTCTTCTCACCTGCATCAAGATTTCTTTGATTCACCCCTTACTCGTAAGCAATGAGTGAGCCAAGTAAGTTATCAATAGAATAAGTGTTCAAATCCTTAGATTCAGTGATTGCAGTGATTTTAGCATCATATGACGAAGGCAAGCATCTCAAAATCTTGTTTACTTTTTTATAGTTTGAAAGTTCTTTTTCTAATGCATGCAGTGAAGTAACTATTTGAGTAAACCTAGTGTACATGTTAGAAACAGATTCATGAGATTTCATACGAAAAAGTTCGTAATCATGCAAGAGAATATTCAAACGGGATTGTTTAACCTCATTATGCCTTCATAGGTGATACACAATTTATCCCAAATTTCTTTACCAGTTTTGCAAGTGGAGACACGCATGTAATCCTTAGATTTTAAAGCATAGAAAAAATAGTTCAAATATTTTGCATTCAATTGAGCTAAATCTCGTTCATCGAAAGTCCATTCAGTAAAAGCAATTTTAGTTTTAACACCATTAATTTTACGAGAAGGTGGAGAATAACCTTCTTTTATAAGCATCTACATGCGGTAATTAGTAGATTGTAAAAACGTTGACATGCGGGTTTTCTAGAAATCAAAAGGTAAGTTGTCAAACAAGGGAGGTCGTGTAATTGAATAACCTTCTGTACTGTTACGATTCCATGGATCAAAATTCAAAAAGTTTTCAAACTCAATTTTTATGAATCCCGCTCTAAAACCACTTGAAAGTACTCAGATGACAATAGAAAGTGCTCTAATATCACTTGAAAGTTCATTAGGGATGTTAAGCCCTATAGAACTGGCCCAAGCTAACCAAGAGGGGGGGGGTGAATTGGAATTTTAAAATTTTTCTTTTCATAAAGAACAAAAAATAACATAAACCAAAATCACACCACGAGAAAAATAAATGCGGAAATTAAAGTGGGGAAGCAAGAACCAAGAATACAGAAATTTATAGTAGTTCGGTCAACTCGACCTACGTCCATTCCCTGGAGGCGCCCTCCGAGTATTGCACTACACTCGTGACTCTCCTTTAGCCCCCACAGCTAGGCTGAGAAGCCTTTACAAAGAACCTCCTTTTCTCCACCCCAGCAAGGCAGAGAACCTATCTCCTTTTGCTTCCTCCTGAAGCTGGCAGAGAACCACAACCAGATGCTGACTCCTTACCTGTACCGACCCTTCCACGGATGAGAAACTCTAGACAAAGAAGAAGCAGAGCGATTCTTGAAGCAACCATTGTGAATCCCCTCACAAGATCCTCTCTCTCTCCCTCTCTCTCTTTCTCTCCTCAAGGTCTTCTCAGGTCAAGGCAGCAGCAAAAGATTGTTCAAAACATTGAACAAGAGCTCTTAAATAGAAGAGCTTCAAAGGAGCTCATTAATTGCAAGTTGCCGACAATATCGTCCAGACCGATCAGTACAAATCTCAAAAGATCGGCCAGAGCATCACCCTGAATGCAATCTAGACGATTGAAAATTGGCTTGATCGTCCAGGCCGATCTCACGATCGTCTCGGCCGATCAGTTCAAATCAGAGGAAAATAGTCTAGAGCATCGCCCTGAATTCGAGCTGGCTGATATTTGTCGTCTAGAAGTAACTAAGGTTTTTGAATAGATCGTCCGTGCTTGAAAAAAAAAAGGATTTTTACATACATACCACTTTATAACATATGTATTACATATTTAACACCTAATTCATAAATATTACATTAATACCACATATTCTCTATTTTTATAACAAAATCACCACTCCTTTAACAGCGGCTTAACTCCGTTTTTTTTTTCATTCCCAACTCTCTCTCCATTTCCTCATCGCCACCACAGGAACAATCGCAAAACCCCAATCCATGGCCGCCACCGTCGTCGCCGTCGCCGCCGCCGCCGCCGTCTCCCTCACCGCACCGCTCCTCCCCTTCTCCTCTTCTTCAACGCTTCAAATACTAGCTAGAAAGATTCCTTCCCCCCTCTCCGCTGCATCTCTGCTTCTCTTTATACACCGTACCAATTCCCTCGGCGCTCGAGCGGAAGCCGATGATGGAAGTGACAACGGAGCTGTAGTCGAACGTCATAACTTCGACTTCGACCTGTTCACGATCGGCGCAGGGAGTGGAGGGGTTCGTGCTTCGCGCTTCGCGGCGAACTATGGTGCCTCTGTTACGATTTGCGAGCTTCCGTTTGTTGCTATATCGTCTGACCCGGCTGGTGGAGTTGGTGGAACGTAAGTTGCTTTGCATTTATTGTTTTTTTTTTCTTCTTTTGGTGGATTGAGAGACGGGTTTGGTTGAAAATTACTTTGTTGGTTTAGTTTGATCTTGCCTGGGATAATGAATTGGTTAATTTTCTTGTATGGAAAAGATTTTGTGTGTGAGATTAAACAAAATTGCTTAAGGGAACCATGAAGACAGAAGAAGAAGACCTTTATTGTGTTTATTGAGATCTAATATAGTCCAGAAAGTAGATGTAGAATTGAAAGGGCTCGCATAGAACCCAGCACAGGCGGAAATGATGTTTGCTCGCATGGAACAGCAGCAAAGCTGGAGAAGCAGCTCAGAGAAGAGAAGGGTATCGCTGAAAGAAAAACGGAGTGAAGCCGCTGTTAACGGAGTGATGATTTTGTTATAAAAATAGAGAATAGGTGGTATTAATGTAATATTTAAGAATTAGATGTTAAATATGTAATACATATGTTATAAAGTGGTATGTATGTAAAAAAAAAAAAACACATTCTATGAGTAATTCAAATATTTTATAAGCTCTTTCTTAAAATTGCCCCTCTTTTTCCGTCGTTGCTCTTATTTCTCAGCAAAAATCAAACTCCAACAAAAACCCTAATCCTTCGTCCATGGCGTGGAGATGTGTTCCCCACCTAGGGCACATTCTCCGAGGTACGTATGTTTCTTCCTCTCGCCTAGGTTCAACCTCCATCGACATCCCGCGATGGGTGACCTACATGCCCCGCCCTGGAGATGGCTCGCCTCGGCCGGTGACTTTGATTCCCGGCGACGGCATCGGTCCACTTGTCACCGGCGCCGTGAAGCAGGTCATGGAGGCGATGCACGCGCCGGTCTATTTCGATACCTACGAAGTACACGGCTACATGACGACGGTACCGGCTGAGGTGATAGAGTCTATTCGGAGGAACAAGGTTTGCATCAAAGGAGGATTGGAGACGCCGGTTGGCGGAGGTGTGAGCTCGCTCAACGTGCAGTTGAGAAAGGAACTCGACCTCTATGCTTCGCTGGTTAACTGCTTTAATCTTCCTGGGTTACCTACGAGACACGAAAACGTTGATATCGTCGTGATCAGGGAGAATACCGAGGGAGAATATTCTGGGCTAGAGCATGAGGTCGTTCCTGGCGTTGTGGAGAGTCTTAAGGTACCCGTTTTATTCAGGCGTATCCTTTTGATTTTTGGGAATCGGCAGTCTGTTAAATATTGAAACTTGTCATTAACTTTTTCAAGAAATTTCTTCTTATTAAGGCCACATAGGCTTCAGAGGATTCCGTGGTTTAGCAATTGTTCGACTAAATTTTGTTTAAACTTCTGGCTTCATAAAGTCTTTCAGATCATAGAAAGGCTTCCCTTAATTAAAAGTCGAAAACATTCAAGCATTGGTCTTTTCTGGTTTTTCTTAGCATGCTTTATCAGAACTACGGAAATAATCGGTGAAGATATTGAATTTTACCAACGGTTAAATAAAAGATGAGAAGTTCTTTGACATTTGAGGACTAGAATAATTTTTGAGAAGTGACTGTTAGCATGATTTATTATTGCTTGTTTTCAGTTTTTGTATATCTGAGTAATAAAGAACATGAAATTGTAGAAATATTGCAGATAATGATATTTAGCCAATTACTAAATATGTTTGGCACAATTTTCTCTACTTTTATTTTGTTTGAGAAATACCCCATTATATGCTCTTTTTTTGGTTGTTCTAGAATGCGGTCTAAAATAAAAATTGTTTGCATTTTGATTTTTCAATGATTAACTGACAAGCTGTTCTTCTAATTACATTTTGTTTGTAGTTACTTTCCTGGAAAATTCTGAGAAATTATTTTAGTTTAAAGTTTACTACTTTCTTGAGAGTCTAATGATATGCTATTTAAGTCTAGTTTTATTTTCTGGGAAATGTATTGATGCATATCTATATAGCTTGTGTGATATCATGTTATTTTTTAAGAAATGCAACTTAAAGAAGGGGAACCATTCATTTTATGGGCAATTTGTTTTGCTGGCATCTTAGACGGAACAATATATTCATAGTATTTGCCAATTTTAAGGATAAATCCATTGATTTGTCGATTATCTAGATCTCAACCCATTATTTTGCCGTTGAAGAGATGTTATGTTGATGGATAAAAGGAGTTGGAAAAAAGAAATAAAGACTACAATGCATGAAACATCCACTAAGCTCCAAAATTCTATATTTGATTGGTTTTGCATCTATGAATTTCTTAGGATTATGCTTTACTAAGATATCTTATTTTCATTTATTAGCATGATTTTACCAAATATCTCTTCAATAAATTTGTGACACTATTCCTCTCATTCATTCTAGACTTCTAGTGTCTAAGTTGAATTTCAAAAGATGCTATTTTTTATTAAAATTGGCTTAGTTGCTTAGTTTAGCATATGGATAAGAAGTCAGCATTTATGACATTAGTAAAGTGGGGATTATCTAATGGAAATATTAATTAGTAAAAATCTTAAAATTTCTCATCCTGCAATAGAGTTTTTACCCAAAAAACAGCATAAACTTAAAACATTAGAATAGTTTACAGCAGTCATTAACGTTGTTTGCTTTCTTAAGGTCTTTAACGTATATGCCAAACATCACCATTATTAGTGTGGTTATATTTTTTCCTTAACGTTCTATATTTTCACTATATTTATTTATTAAACCTATCTCTGGTTGGTTGTATGCACCCTCTAAACTTTGTGTTTTTCTTTTATGTCTTTCTGTTTGGCTAGTTATAAATGCACCACTCTAGTCGAGTTGGGCTTACGTTAAATTTAAAACTTAAACATTCTGAAACATGAAACAGCTTCAACCCTCCAAAAACAATAAAATCCACAATTCTTAATGCATACCTAACAAACTAATGACCATTCAAGAGAAAATTGTTCATGCTGGAACAGATTTAGAACTGCCCATGAGGTTCTCAACTAAGGTTATGAGCAATTTATAGTTTAGATGTGCTGAACCTCCTGATTCAATTTTAAAATATTGAATGCTTTTCATCAATTTTCCTTGTTAATTTTTCAAGAACTTGTTATCACTCCATATTTTATGAATAATAGATTTTAATTATACTTGGTTATTGCTTATAACTTAGTTTTAAAGCTAAGATCTATCCACATAATCACTTCTAAGCTTATGGCCCGATCAAACCAAGAGTCTAAACTGACTCAACAACGTGATTCCAGTTGTTAGGTGAATCAGCTGAAATGTTTTGGGTCATAATGAATAGCTGCATTTCATTATTTTAGATTTTTTTTTTTCAGGAATGCTTAACTTTCTTGAAGTACATTATTTTTTTATTGTTTAGTAATCTGGTCTCTACATGTTCTTATTTCCGTATTAATGGCTTGCCAGGTAATCACAAAGTTTTGTTCGGAGCGCATTGCAAAGTATGCTTTTGAGTATGCATACCTCAACAACAGAAAGAAAGTTACAGCTGTGCACAAAGCTAACATCATGAAGCTTGCAGATGGTCTTTTTCTAGAATCCTGCCGTGAGGTTGCTACAAAGTATCCTGGGATAAAATATAATGAGATTATTGTTGACAATTGCTGCATGCAACTTGTTTCAAAGCCTGAGCAGTTCGATGTAATGGTAATCCATTTTTTGCTTCATCTTATCTCTAACAATTTATTATCACGAACAGATGCATTTGATTATCTTGTGGTCCATCCTTTACGGAAGTGGCTACTTATTTCACAGTGTTGTGACGTGTTTCAGCTGAAGTTCAATTTTATATCAATTTTCATCAAATTTTTTGTCGTTGAGCATGTTGATGCTGAAGTTCTTATACTTAAGTTCTTATTATGTTTTGCTTGTATAAATGATTCTTCAGGTTTATCTAGGAAATGTTTTTAGTTGTTATTGTAAGTACCATCTTAGTTGAAGTAAGTTTGATGTATAAGATATCTTAGGGTTTAGGATTTCTAATGCATATTTTATTTGCGTAGAAAAAAATGTAAAAACATGCAATATTCACATGATGCAAGATATTAATCCAAATTAATTATTCATTACCTTCTATGTGAAATAAAAATATATGCTGAAAACCAATTAAATGAAAGAAATTAAGAATCAAGAAGACTGCAACTGAAATTCATGTAGTTGACCAAAGTCCAGTTTTTAACAAATCCAATTCATCACAATCACATTTTCGGCTCAATAATAAAACTGTAGAAGAGGATACAAAAGAGTAAGAAAGTAAGATTTATAAAAAAAAGCAAGCTTTACAGTTGTACAAGTCGGTAAAATCTTACAGAAAATTTCTATTATCGATTGACCAGGGAATTTAATTCTTAATGTAAAAGTAATTGCACATCCAACTTAGAAATTTTATTCAACCACTGATTCACCTTTTGCACATGCCTCAAATCTTTAATTATAATCACAAGCTATTAGAATTCCTCTTAATTACTCATAAATTATATAAAGGAGTTGCGCCAACAGAAAATCCACTGGAATAGAATTCACAACCCATTCGTAGGACCTTGAACTATGATGCACCGACACTTCTCCTCAAAGAGCCGTGTAGTGTCTGACACGTCTCATACACGACACACATCCGACATGCCTTCGACATGTATCGGACACGTCGAAAACGTGTTTGATTAAAAAAATATTTAATACAAATTGGACACTCGTGTCTTAAATATTTTATAATTTTTTTAAATATAATTTATTGTATTTAAAATTTTTGTTTATTTAAAATGTAGAATTAAATTTCTTATTTCCTATCCACAATACCAAATCAATCACTCGCACTCAATACCGCATTCATTGAATATTCTCATTTTCATTTCTCTTTAGCGTGCTGAAACTTTGGTTTCGCAACAATGTCGATGTCATCTCAACATCGACATCTGACGTCATTAGAACATCAACATTTCAAAACAACATCAAAGATTGACACTATCTTGGCATTGATGTTTGACGCTAGCAATTTCTACACCCACAACTTGACAACTCATCTTTATCCAACGTTGTCTTAACATCGACAACCAACGCCCTCTTAACATTGACGGCATACGCTCTTGACATCGGCGTCCGATACTTACTGAATAACATCGATGCCCGACTCTCGACAACATTGTCCTCTCCTCTCTCGATGCTTAATACATGACATCGACGCTCGACTCATAACATCATAGTATTAATCTTTTTAAGCACAAATTCTAGTTAAATGACTTATAATTTTTAAATTATTTTTGATATTATACTTATTCAATTTTTATACACATTTTAAATATAAAAAATTATAATTTCATGTCCAACCGTGTTAGTGTCATATATTTTCAATAATTGATGTGTCTGTGTCGTGTCATTTCCATGTCTGGGCATCACAGACCGTGGAACAGACTAGTTTTTGGACCTCAATCCAGGAGGAAACTGCATAAAAAATAAGCCGCCCAAACAAAACTATCAAACCTGAGAGAGAAGTCATTGAATAGATGCTACCACAGGACTCTAGCACACTGAGTCGCACAATTTGGGGGAAAAAACATTGGAATGAAGAAATCTGCCAGCTATTTTCAGAGATTTTTTTTTGTGTGAAAATATAATTGAAATCCAAGTTCGGATTCAATTACAATTCAAACTTTTTATGGTAGATAACATTCTATGAATGCGCATGTTTAGACTCCTAAAATTGAAATTATAAATTAAATCAAAACCATGTAAGTCTTAAATAAAACTAAAATTCATATAAAAGTTCCAAGTTTCTCATCGCCTTAACTCAGATATTTTCTGCTTTAAATGATTGCATATTTTGAGATTCACATCTAATTCTCAATAATGGTCTTGATTTGATCCACATTCTATACTTCCCTTCAAAGTCACCTTTGAAGGAGAACTACTGTACAGTTGCACACCTGCATAATAAATTGCCCAGTATATGTTTTCAGCTTCTATGTATATTTGCTTAACTTCGTTCAATAATGCACTGGAATATGTCATTATTTTGATGTTCTCGTTTCTACAGGTGACACCAAATTTATATGGCAATCTTGTGGCAAACACTGCTGCAGGTATTGCTGGTGGAACTGGTGTAATGCCTGGAGGTATCGGCCTAGTGCAATCACTGAATTCTTTCTATTCTTTTTTAATTTCCCGGAAACATTCATTATTACTTCTGTAGATAAATATCAGAGATTTAATATTTTTCATGATTTACTAACTTCTTTAAAAAAAATTATTTTTAATGCTTTGATTAATATGAAGTTATGTAAGTTAAATTATTAAATTTGTGAATTCTGTCTTTTAGTGATATCTGTTCAAAACTGTACTGCTGTGCATACCTGTATGTATGGACTTAATATTTTTGTACTCAAATCAAATACAATTCCTGACATTATTATTTTTTTTTCTAGAGTATACTTTTGGAAGATCTGCAAATTCCCCATTAAAAGCATTTTATGTGCATTGTATTGTTTTCTTACTATTAGTGATGTGGTACATGGTAGAAGTCCTATCACTAGGGCATGGGCAAAAGCACATGAAGCTCAAGCTAGGAAGGATCCATGACAATTAATCATGAGAATCTACATATTTTTTATGTTTTATGAGTTTGTCTTATGTGTTTATGTAATATCATGTATTTTGTATTGTGAGTGTTATGTGGACATCATATTAATTTATTTTGTTTTGTTAGTAATCATTGTATTATTTCTAAGTCATGCTCAATGTAGCAAGGGCCGGTGATGCTAGAGTATGAGTATGCATGGAAGTGATTTAAGTAGTTTTCAAGTGGGCTCCATGCATGGAGCAAGGGTATAATAATTCCTTTGGACTGACATGAAGTGGTTATTAATGTGCTAAACATTTTTGAGTAAATTCCAAAAGGTCTAGAAGGCTTGGTGGCTGGCCATTACAATCAGGTTGGATGATATTCTTGGATTTCCTACTTTTGTGAGTATGTTTTAATTTTATGCACGTTATTTTTACTATAACTTTATGTCATTTTATCTAGTGTACATAATCTTTCATAAAAATTTAAGAATTTCAATTATCTCCCTCTAATTCTATGTCTAATCCTGCCAACTAGACTCAACCAAAAAATTTGTCTTTGTTAGACTAGTCTTGCTCATTTTATTATGACCAAGCAGAACTTCATAATTTTTCACCAAATTCTTTAGATCATTAACCCACATCTCATACTTCAATAACCTTTATATTAATCGGGGTTGTTCTAGTCAAATTTTTGGAGAATAAATCAGCCATACTTTTCAAGTCTTTTTACTATTTTATCTTATATGTATTTTTAGTCACGTATTAAAAAAAAAAACATCACAAAAAATTTCAAAAATTTCAAATTATATCTAGGGAGTTTCATTGACCATTTTCAATTGAAATTATTAAATTTCACCTATTCTACAGAAAACCATGAGTAATTCTCTAATATTGGTCTATTTTGGACAGAATTAACCCGTATCCCTTCCAGAGCACATTTAGACCTCTTAAAACTATCCAATCCTTAGAAAATTTTTCGGAAATAAACTATACAATATTCCCTTCAAATCAAGTCCAAGTTTGCTGGATTTAGATATATGTAGGGGAATAATTAATTGGTAGACATTGAATTTGCATTCTCTAGACATATTATAGAGCTTCTGACATATCTTTAAATTCACCCACCTTGAAGTAACTCCTCTATAAAAATTGATTTTAACTATTCCAATTATATGAGAAGAGTTCCCCCACATCCACAATTGATCATATTAGTGATCTACGACACCATCTAATTCTCTCATCATCATTTTGGTATCAAAGCCTGAGAATGCCTGAAAATGGCTCCTTCTTTAGCAATTGGTGGACATTGTTTGCATTAAAAGATGGACACCAAGGAAGTGAGAAGTTTGGAGAGGCTTTTGCAAATTGTGGATTAAAAATCATCAAGAGGTAATCTCTCGACTCCGCGAAACAGTACTATAAGAATTAGTACTGAACATCCCTCCTGTAATAGTACAGGCTCCCATAGCAATGACATATTTTGGTTCAGGCATGTGCTCATATAATTTGTATAATCTTACTAAAGAAGGAGCCATTTTCATTGTTACTGTTCCGACTGTTAAAATGAGGTCTGCTTGCCTTGGGCTCGATCTTGGCACCAACCCATAACGATCAAAGTTGAAGTACTTTGGGCTTGATAAAATTCATTTTATGATATTCTCTTTTCCATTGATAATTCTTGTAGTAGATTACATGTTTGATGCAATTCTATGAACTAATGCAAGAATATCAGTTAGTTGCCTCCACATATTGGCCTATCCATTAGACAATAAACGTATCAAACTCAATTGACTAGAGTGGATCCAAATCAGTGAGGGAGTGCTCCACTAAATTATCTAAAATCTCATTTTGATTCCTACTAAGATAAGAAAATTATCTTGAACAATTTAGGGTTTTATCATAATTCTAGTTTATTTTTTGTACTAGTTTACTTCTAATTTTTGTTTACAAGTTTGTGAAGGCATTAAAATAATTTTCTAAAATTATTTGCATGAATTTTATTTAAATCAACTAGCTTCTCTTATTTAAAAGAATAAATAAAAAATATATTATAGAAGTCATATTTAACTTTCATTATTGCAGTATGCCACCAAAGTCAACTAGTCAGGATCAAATAGACAATGCCAATAAGAGGATTAATGAGTTCTTCAAATTGATGCAAAATTAAGTAAACTTCAAGAGCTCATTTTGAACTTAAACACAAATTCAAAACTTTCTTTGTTAGGATACAAATTTCTTTATTAGCACCAAACACAATAGAAACTGAAACAATAGGAGAAGACTACATAGAAGATGCTAGGGTGTTACCTACAAACTAGAAGGCAACCTTTTAGGAATCATGAAAACTTGGTTGAACTCTAAAAGAAGGTTAAGGTAGATGCCCTTATCTATGATAGAGTCCATGACCACAACAAATTCCTTGACTGGCTTACCTGGATAGATGAGTTATTTTATCGTTATCAAATGGTTAACTATCGAAGAACCACCTTTTCTAAGATGACGTTTATAGGCTATGTCAAAATTTATTGGACCAATGTCTTAGTGAAGGAGGTAAGGTTATTATTTGGGTTGAGATGAAAGAGATGCTAAGGGTTAAGAACTTGACCTAAAAACCATTACAATAAGTTAAAAGAACAGTTGATGACTCTTAGGCAAAGCAATATGCAAGTGGTGAGCAGATGAACTTATTTGAGGATTTGATTCCTAGGACTAATTGTATAGATTAAGAGTGACAATTAACCAACAAGTTCACTATTGGTTTAAGAAGTGAGTCATATATGAGGTTGAGTTACCGGACCCTTAAATTTTAAAAGATGCTTTTTGCTATGCTTTACTTTAAGAGAAACATAAGAAGATAGCTTCTTCATCTAGAATTAGAGGTCCAAATCATCCCTTCAATCATCCTCTTATTTTATCAAGAGGTCTATTATTAGAACTACACACTCATCTGGTGCCCAACCTAATGGGAGTGCACTTGAATTATAACTAAAGATATAAGGGATTTTTACATACATAACACTTAAAATAATTCAAATTATATATCTAACACCCAAACTATTATATTTACTAATATACCACATAAAATCCTATTTTACATATTTTCTAACACTCCGTTAATGCGAGGGTTTCCTGTCGTGTCTTTCGTCTCCGTTCGTTTGTGTGAGGATCGTCTTCCCCATCCGAAGGAAAAGCCTTCTTCATCAAAGGTGTCATATTCGACCGCTTCACATGCCTGACATCTTCTTAGCTCGGCAAGTATTCAACTCGATGCATGCCCCCATCTCAACGTCTTCCCCGTCCAATTCCTTGATGGGGGTTAGAGGTTTTTTTTGCCGGTTGATCTTGTCTTCATTTTCATTGTCGTTGTTCGCCTTCTCCATGTCATGTCGGATAGTGGGCTTTTGTTTGTTGATCGTGTTCTCATGTCTTCGTTTACTATGATGTGTTTGGAAATTTAGAGATGGACGTAAGCTGTTTGATTGAATACCAAGGCAGCCGTTTTAGGCTGAATCTGAATTGCTTTTGAGTACTAGGCACCATTCGAAAGCTAGATTAACTAATGAGCTCCTTTTCTTTCTTTATTTTGAAGGTGTATTGCTATTGCATCCCAAGTCATAAATCAATTCTATAATGAGTTCGAGTTCCTCAGCAACGCTAATCAGAAAACCCAAGTAATCAAATATATTGTCATTGCAATTTACAATGTACAATATATACTTCACACAAATAGTGTAGTAATGGAAGAAAGTTCTACAGATGCTCCCGAAATAGATCATAAGACGATTTTCATTTTTTTTCGGTGGTGCGATGAACTTGATGAATCGGCGTATGATATGAATTACGAAAGAAGTTCAAATGTTGTCGAAACCAGCATTACTCATGTTGTTTCTGTTAGAGCCGAGCTTTTACAAATAAAAATTACATTGTTGATAGTGCTTATCCTAAATTTGATTGTAGCAATCGTTGTGAACAATGTTTAAAATTGCGTAATCGGGTATTGAGGTGTTTTTTGTTCGTGAGGCGAGGCGTAAGCCTCAAAATTAAAAAATTGCGTACACATAAAATGATAAATTTTGTATTTACTAATGAGTAAATAATATATAAAACATAAAAATGTACAAGACATGAAGTGAAATCAAAATATCCCAATAATAAGACAACATAAAATATAGTCCAACTCAAACTCCATCTTTCCCAAATCACAGTATTCTTTTCATTAACATATAATTCCAAAAACAAATAGCAATGACATATCACTTAAAAACTCATAAGTCATCAGCACTGTCATCACCATGTTTAAAAATGTGCAATTAGGTATTGAGGCATTTTTTTTTTGTAAGGCAAGGTGTAAGCCTCAAGGCATTTTGAGGCGTGAGCCTTACAATAAAAAAATTGTGTCAAGTGCAAAATAAATGTTGAAAGTAAAATTTTATATAATACTCAAATAATATATTAAAAAATGGCGACGGGTTAGAGGTTAAGGAAGTTGAGAGGAAGTTGCTGCGACTAGGGCATACACAAAGTGTGATTTGTTTGCGGCTTTACTTCAGGA